TCCCAAGCCAGCTCTTAATCAACGCTCCACTCGGCCGGCCCTGCTGTGAAAAAAAACCAAAAAAACCAAGAAACATTCACCATTTAAAAAAAAATAATAATTTGAGGTTTGACTCAACTCTCCTGTGGTGGTAATTTATTTTTTTCTGTGTTCTGTCATTTTATAAATATCTAGAACATTAATATTAAAAAGAAATCACAAGTTTGAAATGACAGTAAAGGCTTGTTGTCTTTTTCAGATGATCACAGTCGTGTTAAACTACAGAATGCTGAAAATGATTATATTAATGCCAGCTTAGTTGACATAGAAGAGGCACAAAGAAGTTACATCTTAACACAGGCAAGTGGTATGATGTGGAGCAGAAGCCTGACAATGCAGTTTCTGTGATTGGTCTGCTTTAAAATACAGCTGAAAGTATGTCTTAACTTCTTTTGGAAATGAAACGCTATTTAACTTTCTTCTGTTGTTATGTAATGAATGAATTGTAGACGTTATAATGTTTTGCAGCGTTAAGGTGAAAGTAAAGTTATTTTTAACGTTATACATTCCATAAAGGAAAATTTTTTAATGAAATGGCTTAAGCCAGTTCTTTTTCAGGCAAATTTTCTTCCTTTCTTTATATTTGATACAAAGCCTTTGTTAATATTTTGTTAACTTCTTTCGTTGCTCTTCAGATAACCTGTGTTACATAACCAGAGACCCTTTGAAAGCTCTTCTTTACCGCCCTCTCTGGCATATATTTTCTGAGAGTACAGACATGGCTTAGATGGTGTCTGGCATTTCTTCAGGACAGAGTGAGGATGCTGAGACCAGATGCCCAGAGGACTGACTAGGAGACCAGAGAGCCTGGCAGTTCCCTTTGTTATTCTGCCTGAATGCTTCTTGGAACATTGGCCACACCCATATTCCAGCACTGCTTTTCTTCCATTCTGAGATAATAGAAATTATTTTGGTATATCTGCACCAGCTACCCTTTATTTATCAAATAACAGAGACTTAATTAACACTGATGCCATTTCCCCAGTTAATGATTTTTAAATACTCAAATGATAAGTTGTATATTCATAATATTGAGATTTTTAAAAACCCAATTTGAATCAGAATATGGAAAAATGATATTTAGACAAATGTAACTATAAGCTATTAGAACACTTCTTTCTTTCTTTCTTTCTTTCTTTCTTTTTTTAAAGATTTTATTGGGGACTTGAGGGAGGCGAACAGCCAAGTTGTCCTTCAACCTTAGTTGTGGAGGGCAGAGCTAGCTCAGCTCCAAGTCCAGTCACCATCCGGCTGCCCGTCAGCAGCTCGTGGCCGCTCACTCAAGGTGCCGTGTTCAATCTTAGTTGTGGTTGGGCGTAGCCTCCCATCCCATGTGGGAGTCGAACCAGCAACCTTGTTGTTAGGCGCGCATGCTCTCACCAGCTGAGCCATCTGGCTGCCCGTTGGCAGCTCAGCTCGGGCGCAGCTCACTGGCCCATGTGGGAATAAAACCGGCAACCTTGTTGCTCAGAGCTTGTGCTCTTAACCAACTAAGCCACTTGGCCAGCCCTATTAACCTATTCCTAATTAGCAGGAACTGAAAATTATTTTACTTGAAGTAAAACATTTCCTGTAAATCAAAAAGAAAAAAAGAAACCATCTGTGAAAAAAACTGGTAAAGAACATAAATGCACAATTCAAAGAAAAAATGAAAAGTGGATAATATACATATAAAAAGTACTTCACTCTTTTTAGTAATTAGAGAATATAAATTTAAACCATCAGCTGTTATCACCTGTTAGAACAGGAGAGACTTAGAAGTTTATAATACTCACTGGTCAGATATGTACAGACATAAAGATATATGTGAGAGTGTTTATTTTAATAGCATAGGACCAGAAGTAATAGGACTGAAATAATCTGTAAGGTACTATCTAAATAAATTATACATATTCCATTAGTACTGGTTGTTTCTGTGAATTAGAAATACTTAATTTGCCATTTCCTGCCTTTTTGTAATATTTGAAATTTTTCTTAGAAGTATTAATGATATTTTTAATAAACCCCGTTTTTAGAGTCAAAAGAATTTACTTTCTATTTGGAAAAACTATTAATGTTAAAAAATAGAAAAGAGGGCCGGCCGAGTGGCGCGATGGTTAAGAACTCGTTTGGGACACCAGAGAGCCCCGGTTCGGATCCCACATATGAGGGCCAGTGATG